AACTCAAACAACAAATCCTCCAAAGATGGTTACCCTCACTCTACAAAAGTGCTGAGTTAATGTTTGTTCTTTAAAATAAATATAAGCATTTCTTGGACTAGATACCATCAACTTTAATTTTATTTTTCTCACATAAATGTTAACCAAGAACTAAACACATAATTTCCTTCTGTCACATAGCAATTCCACTGTGGTGGAACGAAATGTTATCTTAAGTTTCACAGAGCAATTGTTCAATCACTCCTGTTGGTGGCTCCTTTCCAAATCTTCAAGAATGGCCAGCCCTTGAAACTGGGAGGGAGAGTCAGAGGGGGAGTCGCTGTCAGTCAAGAGCTTAACTTTGTGGCATACTGGCTGGTTCTCCCCCAGCAATATCTCATCCCTATGAGGATGACACCCAAGGCATGTTGCCTGCTTGAGTACAATTGCTGAGAAACCTCTAAACCTTAAACTTATGCAAAGCGAGCATGGAGACATCAAGGAAAGTTCCATCTTACCCTGGTTTGGTGAATTAAATCCTCAGGAAGTTTGGGGAAGAAGAGAGGGGGCTCAGAAAAAGAAATTTATTCCTTAAAGGTTTTTTGTTGTTGTTGTTGTTGTTGGAGATGGAGTCTCACTGTGTTGCCCAGGCTGGAGTGCAGTAGCACAATCCTGGCTCACTGCAACCTCCGCCTCCTGGGTTCAAGTGATTCTCCTGCCTCAGCCTCCCAAGCAGCTGGGATTACAGGTGCCTGCCACCACGCCTGGCTAATTTTTGTATTTTTTAGTAGAGGGGGAGTTTTGCCATGTAGGCGGGGCTGGTCTCAAACTCCTGACCTAAGGTGACACACCCGCCTCAGACTCCCAAAATGCTGGGATTACAGGTGTGAGCCACTGTGCCCAGCCAATTTATTCCTTAATGTTGAAAAGCAGTAACAAAGATTTCATCTTCACTGAAAGAAAACATTGTTCAACCTACACTACCTATCTCCTGCTAAAAATCATGTACAAAGCCATCCTTTAGAGTTGGGTCAATTAATCTTTCTAGATAGACCGCTCAAAGAGGAAGGGAAACTCTGATACATGTTTTCCTACCAACTTCCACATACAGATGAAGTAGGTTTGTTGAACCTCAGATGCATAGAGCTCAGCCCATTTATAATACCAAATCTGTTTGTAACACAAATCAGCCAAATGTTGGAATTAAAATGAGTATGGAATAAGTTAATAATCAATTCTATTCTCCAATTCCTTGTAAGTCTTGAAGGTTTATGACATAACAGAAACTAGGGTTATATCTCTGTTTTCAATGTATTTTCTTTGCCCTCCCACAAAACTAGGAGCAATTAGTCAAACCCAGGATATTTTTTGAAGATGTGGGAGTGGCTTGGTAGAAGCCACTTGGACTCACAAAAAAGTCCAGACTTCTTCAATTAAAAGACAAAGAAAATTAAAAGATCCCTAACAGAGGTAGGATCATGGGTAATTATTATTTTTATGTATTTCTATATTTTTATAGCCTTACAATAAAAGTGAATCATGTGAATCATTTGCATAATGAATATTTGTGTGTGTGTGTGTGTGTGTGTGTTTGTGTGTGTGTGTGTGTGTGTGGATGTTCATGTGCACCCAGAAGGAGTCTTGACCTGACTTCAATGCTTACATAAATCACCTTTGAATGTTGTTAAAAGGCAGATTCTGGTTCAGTAGGTCTGAGATGGGCCTGAGAGTCTGCATTTTTAACAGGATCCCAAGTTACTGCTCCATAGACTATACTTTGAGTGGCAAAGTATACTGTGTAGTGCTTACCTGATTAAAAGCTACACTAGGTGTCTTCTTTCCTGCTGATCCAAAGGAGGTTAAGAAACTTTACAGCAACAACCAAAAGCAGAGTTAGAGAAAAGCTGACATTGCTTATAAAACTTGGTCTGCGGTGTCTTAGGTTTTTCTCTTCTTTGAGCAACTTTGGTCTATGTAGATTTGTCCCCCACCTCATATTGGCCAGGATCTAGCAGCAGCTAACGGGAGGAGCAGGATTATAAAGGGAGAAAATTCATCATTGTTTTAGCGTATGAATGGGTAGCCCACCTGCCATCAGAGTCTGTGCTGACCATTTAGAACCATGAAGAGAGTTCCAGACCCTGAACTGCTGAGCCTTAACCAGCCATGGGACACTTCTTGGAACAACTGTCTCCCCTCTCCCATCTCAGGTGAGTGGATTTTTATCTTCATAATCTTGCTTTTCAACCCTCAGCCCCTTTGCACTGAGCTCTTTCCAAGCTTTTTCCTCCTTCATAGCTCTGAGGCATAGCCTAGACTTTTCTTCCTCTCCTCCTTAAGCTTCCTTGCCTTCCCTTTCAGTGCCATCAAAATGAGATCACAACTTTAGATCTATCATTGTGTCTAGTCCTAACATGAGGCCATGGCATATTGTTAATCCCATTATAGAAGCAAAAACATTGCAATGTAGAAATAATAAGTGACTCGTCTAGGAAGGCCCAACAAATAGGTGACAAGGCTAGTCTGAACCACGACCACTGCGGAACTCTGCGGAACTCACACACAAACACATACTTCCTTTTGTTTACTCCCACTAGTCCTTCATATCTCAGCTAAAGCATCTATTTCTTAAGTATGGCAGTGTGGACACAGTTGGTGCATTAGGGAACTGCAGGTGAGTATATACTGCTTTAACAGAGAATAGGGAAAAGAAAAGGACAAGAAAGGCAGCAAAGTGGGAATGGGGAGACCTCCTCAGTGTGTGGTGTGGTCTTGAGCACTATCATCTAACAGGACAGGAAGTTACTGAAGACAGTAAGCATCAACTGGACAAAGAGTATCGTGAAGCAGGAGCAAGCAAACCAGATTATATTTCATAATGGCCCAGTAGCTTTTTATATAATTTGTCACTTCTGTTCACTTTATCAAAAATAGAAAGGATAGAATGCAGTTGATAATACTGGGTCACTAACAATAACCAATAAATTTCACCATGGCTTACACCCACCTACAAAAATCAGAATAATTCCGGTTTAGCAAGGTTGATTGAAACATAACTGACCTAAGAATATCAGAATAATTCTGGTTTAGTAATATGAATTTGCATTTTGCTTCTCCACTGCATGTGAGACACAGAGCATAAATCAATTAAATATTTGCTCAGCGAGTATTACTAATAAAAAATAAATGAGCATTTCTCTAAGAAGGTAGTAAAATCTAACACAAACTATAAAGTAGGCATTATACCTAAAAGTCACCACCCTCTAAGAAAAAAGACAGTTGTTTCTTCCACTTAGTAGCAGCATTTTGTTGAAGCTGGTAATCGCTCATCTAAACACTTAAAAAAATAAAAAGTCCACTCTGTTCGAGTTAAGAGAAAAGGCTATAAAAACCAAACCAGACTCGAGCCAACAGCTACTGGCCTGCAAAATACGGTGGCATTTTCACAGTTAATTTTGCTGCCATTTGTGCCTGAATTTATCGTGGTTTTGAAAAAGTAAATTGAGAGGCTAACACAGCCCTCACTCCGGGTGCACCGGCCGCAGCGCATCCCCATTCCGGCTGGATATTTAGTGCCGCTGTGCTGAGAAGGCCGAGGAGAGAGCCAGGGGAGGGATTACTGCTCGTTGCTGCCCATAAATCAACTGCAGCACGTCACACAGCTCCACATCCCACAAATAAGGCTGGGCTGGAGAGGTGTCACCACTACACAAAGGGAAGGAGAGCCCCAGTGCCTTTGCCGGCCTGGCCCTTCCCCTCCTTCCTGGGTGCTCATGAAGCAGGGAAGCACCTCAAGGTTTTGCTGTTACTCTTCCCCTGCCTCACTCTCTCTTCCCTAACTTCACCTGGAGAGAAGATCCGGCCCCAGGAATCCAGTGATTTTAGCAAAGGCAGGTCATTACTGAGCCTTAATTCCAAAGTCCCCTCTCCCTTGCTACTTAACCACACAGCCCTTACCTTGCTGATTGGGCTTCCTCCTGAACCAAAGATGGTAAATCAAGTGTTTCCTCCACCCCAGGGGTTCAGTGACTACCAAGTAAACATCTGGACAGCCCTACTCTCCCATTCTGTCCAAGAATTTTCCGCAGAATATGGAAATCAGGGTTTTTTAAATATTATTTTTAAAAACAAGCTTGCCTTCCTTTTTAAAACTCACACCACCCTGTAGGAGGTGCTAGTCATACATTTGCAGAGGCTGAGAACCGTTGGCCCCAAGGACCAAAGTGAAAAACAGCACCCTGGTGTCCCTCTGCGGAACCAGCCCTTCAAGTTCTAAGACAGTCATCAACACAATTCCTGAAAACAATAGCAGCTTCTTGTTTAAAATGGAACTGCACCTGCTAGAATACCGTGTCAACAAACAATTGCTTTGTTTTTCGTATTAGCCATCGAGCTGAAGCAATGGGACTTCCTGAAGTGCATACTGGAAGGCTTATTCTTAGAAGGGGACAGAATTCTCATTTTAACACAAGCCTCAGAGGGCCAGAGTGATGGTCATCTTCCTTCCTTCTTTTGTACTCCCCTGTGTTCATCTTATTTGGTTTTCAACAGGTTTATTTCCATCTCAACCCTCTGGCTTCCAATGCCCATAATGCCGTATTTGGCAACTACCTTCATTTCTGCTTCCTCTCCATTAATGACGAAGGCCTTTAATTGCTATTCCACTATTTCAAACAGTTCTCAGAAGCTTCTTCCCTCCTCTGTTGAAAGAATTGAGATGAAGCCTGATGAAAAATTCTTTGCCAAGTGTTCAATCATTGCTAAGTCACTCTGCTCTTTCATTTTTGTCATCTAATTATGATGTCTGCTTCCAGTTTTTCTATTGCCCTTTGATGCTTATCTGTTGAACAAATTGGGACACTTTTAAAAGGAGTTATTTTGGTAAAATAAGGTGCTTGGTTCTGATTAAAAATTGTTTTAAGTGATTCAGCCAAGGTTGTCTCCATGGGCTCAGGAAGTAACCACAGCCAAAATACCCCAGTGAGGGAAGAATATGAGAGGCCGATAATACCTATTATTACCTTTATCAAGGTGCAGCCAGGCAGCAGGCTCACGGGAGCAAGCAAAGGTCCAGGCCTCCGACACCACAGATTCTAATGCAGCCAGAGTAGCGATAACTACTCAACAAGGAATTGCGATCTAGTTTTTTTAAAGTGGCTTTGTTTTCTTTTCTGTAAAATAGGAGATAGAAGACTAAACACTTGGATTTTATGCTATCTTGAAAATGAAAAGGTAGCATGAGAAATATTGCCTGATTTAGTAAAAAGGGTGCAGGGTTTGAAGTCTATATTCAAAGAGCTCTGTAGTCTTGAGAAAGTCACTTTACCTCTCTGAGCCTCACATTTCTAATCAATGAAGCCTTGCTGTGAGGCCAGCTGCTCTCCAATTCCCCTTGCAGCTTAGAAGGCCTAAGATGTCTACTCTAGCTTAAAAGAAAAAAACAACCTCGTAAAGGATTTAAAACAGATAAAAATTATCTGGTTTATCAGCTAGTGTTGGTGAATTTTCCTGTTAACTTGAAACTTTGCTCTATTTTACATTTCTTAACCTTTTAATTGAGAATTTACATAACTTGTCAGTGTCTCACTACCCTAATCTATAGAATGGATATATTAATAGCACCTGCCTCACCGAGTTGTTGTGAGGACCACATGCACTAATACATGTCATTAGAACGATGCTTGGCATGCAGAAAGTACTCCATAAACGTAAGCACCTAGTAGTCATAATAGTAGTAGTTGTTGTTGTAGAATAGCTATTTGATTGAATTGTTTACAAATGTTTTCAAAAAATAAACAAGCTGGCCAGGCACAGTGGCTCACACCTGTAATCCCAGCACTTGGGGAGGCCAAGGCAGGTGGATCGATTGAGGTCAGGAGTTTGAGACCAGCCCGGCCAATATGGCGAAGCCCTGTTTCCACTAAAAACACAAAAATTATCTGGGCATGGTGGTGTGCGCCTGTAATCCCAGCTACTCAGGAGGCTGAGGCAGGAGAATCGCCTGAACCCGGGAAGTGAAGACTGTAGTCAGCCAAGATCGTGCCACTGTACTCCAGCCCAGGTGACAGGCTCAAAAATAAATAAGCAAACAAATAAATAAATAAGCTAAGGTAGTTATTGCTTTTGTAACCTCCTCAAACTGCCAATACATAGGTGCCCAGAACATCTGTAGTGCTAACTCTGCGCTGTCACAGTCAGCCTTCACCATTACCTGCATCACTTACATAAGTAAGACAAAACCCTATAAAGAAAGAAAAAGTTCCTTAGGACTCCAATCAAGAGAAAAGACATGAAATAGAACATCAGCCATCAAGTTTAAAAGATTATAATTTGTAGTATATTTGAGCACTCCAAACTCTCTTTCTTCATACTAAATATTTTGAACTGTCACACAGATGCCAACAGAAGTTTGTTTGTTTGTTTTTTGAGATAAAGTTTTGCTTTTGTTGCCCAGGCTGGAGTACAATGGCCCGATCTCATCTCACTGCAACCTCTGCCTCCCAGGTTCAAGTGATTCTACTGCCTCATCCTCCAGAGTAGCTGGGATTACAGGCACTCACCACCACGCCCGGCTAATTTTTTTGTATTTTTAGTAGCGATGGGGTTCACCATGTTGACCAGGCTGGTCTCAAACTCCTGACCTCAGGTGATCCACCCCCCTTGGCCTCCCAAAGCACTGGGATTACAGATGTGAGCGACCACGCCCAGCTGCCAACAGGAGTCAGTTCATTTTTAAACAAAAGGAATTAGACTGACATCAGTTCCAGCTATTGGACTCCATGTAGCTAAGACCCTACTTACTTTGGGTCATACACTACAAAGAGAATATTTTCGGAGTGAGCAAGAGCAGATGGCTCTGTGCCTGATACTATTTGTGGTACCCACTCAAACACATCTCATAAAACATCTACTTCCACCTATAGGCAAAGGTTATATCACCTATTCTTGAGACATTTTTGTCAGAATCCATAAGTTAGCTAATGTCAGTGGGAATTAATCTGATTAAATGACTTCTCTTTTATTGTGTGCCTGGCACTGTGTTGGCACCAGAGTTTCAAAGATAAGATAAAACTCTCATGAAACCAAGCCGTACTCTTGAGAATTCTCAGATAGTATAACATAGTAATTAAGTGCAGAGGCTTTGGGGTCAGACTGCCCAAGTCATCGTTGCTAGAAGCAGGAAAAAAAGTTAAGTCATAGAAAAATTTTTTCCACTTCACAATCTTTTCCCAACTCAGCTCTCTGCTTTCAGGTAGAGATTTATTGAAACGAAGATCAGATGAAAAGAGTAAATCAGAACTTCTGTAAGCCAGAACACTTCTTTAGTATATATCTGTGACACAGAACTGGAAAGGAAATTGCACAAAGAAAGGATCATTGAGATCTGTCGAGTCACAGTGCAGATTAGATGTGAAGCCTCTTACCTGGAATCTCCATTATCAGATGGTGTAGTCAACACTGTCCTAATTAACTGTTTGCATTCTCAACACCTGCTCATTCTAGACTGAACCTAGGTAATCTACATCTAAACCCCAATGACCATTGATGATTTGTGTAAACTGACAAAAATAATACTAAAAATGCGTAATAGTTGCAGCAATCAAAACCTGCCTTTATTCACGTATTCTAGTTCAATGTGCTCTCTTACTAAATGATAATGCGTCACAATAATATAGTTAAGTATTATTGAAGCATGTTAACTTTCCAAAACTACAAAAGTTTCACTGAACAATCACTTCTACGAGTTCTGTGATTTACATAAAAACAAAAAGCCAGTAACAACCCCAATTCTCTTCCTATAAAAAATGCAGATTAATGTTTGAAATATTTGTTTTTCTTTGGCCATACCATCCTGAACGTGCCCGATCTCATCTGAAATATTTGTTGAACTATTTTTATTGGGAGGATTGTGGTCTGCATTTTCTAGGCAAACACATGAGGAATTAGGATGATTTGGGGCCATTTATAAGTTCATAAAGTTTAATTCTCTTGTACTGACCCTACTTGTCCCTTAAAAAAAATCATCTAGAAACAAAAAAAAACCACCAATTTTTAGACAGATAAAATGCTGTCTCCTAAAACATACACACACACACACACACACACACACACACACACTGCTCTTCCCCTGATCTTTCCTTTAGTGTAACAGAAAAATTATTCCTTATTTCCCACCTCCTTTCTTCATGACCTCTCATTGCTTTCCCAAGCTGCTCATTCCAACAATGCCTTTAACTCTGATGACTCTTATTAAAAACGACTACTTAATTACCATCAATCTATTATGCTATGTACTTCACCCTCCACTGACACATCTGATCCCATTATGTGCCTGACCTTTAATGGTCATCAAATCAAAGTCATTCTGGTCAGTTCAGTCTGGGCCTGACACATGCCCAGGTCACAAAGATGAAGGCACAGCGGCCTAGCATACCACGTTACCCTGCCCTTCACTTAACACCTTTGTCAATAGAATTTCACAACTGGGAAACTGCCAGGTTTCTGCCTGGCTTAAACAAAATGCCCCTCCTTTTACAGAAAGCTGAAATAAATAATTACACACATGCTGACCAGCACTGGCTTTTATGTAATTGGTGCCTCTCTACCAGCATGACACACTGCCCTCTTGGATGTTTATGCTGAAACATCTTTGGTTGGAAAGTGGGACTTTATTGTGCAGCCTTCTAGAATATGCCCAGCACTCCACACTGGCAGAAAGTCCTCTAAAGATACCTTGATAAGAGAGATAGAAAGGTAAGTTGAGGATGGCCACAGCCACGCCACCAAGTGGGTGGCCGCCTTCCACTGAAAGGCCAATCCACGGAAGCATTCTGGGTTCACAGACTTGTATGCTACCCTCTGATGGGAACAGCCGTTGGGGCTGCTCTATCTCAAACCTGCATGCTGAGAAACACTCCCACTCAACCTAATGAGATGCCATTTAGAAAAGACGCTCTTCCTGGCTGATAGGGCCTGGTCATTGTTACTCATCCATAGGCCTTCCCTGGTGGTGAACATGAAACTGTTTTCCCAGACCAAACATGGACCCTCCCTCGAGGTAGCCAGACATACTGTCTGGTGTGCACAAACATTTTGACTTCTGAGTGGACAGCTAGATCTGGCAGTGTCTTCCCCTTGCTTTACTTTACTAATGCATGTGTATTTTTACCAGCCCCTCTGGGAAAACTGCCCTGCTTTATAGCAACTTGTCACTGACAAGGAATTTCTCATCAAGATTGAAATCTCTGGCCATCCCCAAAGCTCCCAACCCTTCTGAGTTTCAGATCTCAGGACAAGGAGGCTTGTCCTTGAAAAAAAAGAAAAGAAAAGAAAACTGGCTTTGGGAAGCAGTATTGTGGTTTCTTCACGTCTGTGGTGAACAAAAACCCACCCACAGCTCCCCAAAGGCAATTACAAACATTTGGCATGTGACAAATTAATAGTGAGACTTATTTCTTAGAAGAACAATGTTTTGCTTAGATTTTTTTAAATTTCTAGATTCTCTGCTTTCCAATGGAGTATTGCCTTATTCTTTTTCTCACACCTTCTCCAAAATATACCAACCTGAGATGATGAAACACATCACCTATTTAGCTCCCTCCTCCCACTCTCATTCCTGACAGGTTAAAGCTGTTTTCACAACAGTTTTCTCTTTTTGCAAGGCCCCTAAGTGTTGCCTATTATTAATACATACTAAATGTACTTAAAAGTCTTAACCTAGGGCCCATAAAGCAACACACCCCCCTAATAATTGTTATCAGCCATTGGGTCCTGAAAAATAAGAAGTTTCACTGTGTAAGAAATAGGAACACAAATAATAAATCAGAAAAAAGGACTTGAATCCCATTATCATCTTTCATCTGAAAGACTGAAATTCGCAGTCTTTCCACAAATCACTTCACTTGCATTAAATGTCTTCCAAAAGACTCTAAATGTCTTCTAAATTGCAGTTAATTGTTAAGGAAGGATACGCTCAGGTGATCTATCATTAGGCCCAGTAAAAATATTTGGCAATGTGAGCTTCATTTCCATCTGAGAATCTCAAGGCAATTGACCAGCAATGAGGGATTATTCCCATGTTAGGAGAGGTGATCAGAAGTACAGATCCTACAATAAATACCAACCTCCCATGTCAGAGCGAACTCACATTTATTATCAAAGAAATTACCCATCCAAAAACCAGCATGTTGAAAATATAGCATAAACCATTATTTAGGGTGTAACTTTTTATATTACAGTCATTTGTCACTCTTACTTCCAAAAATTCATTTTATTCAAAAGTTTCCTTATGTAAGTGATGGCTGTGAAGGCACAAAAATATCCCTAACGTTTTCCTGAGATTTTTTTTTCCCTTGGTTTAAAAGTGAGTACCAGAAAGAATTCAGATAAGCAAGACATAGGACTGGTGTGTTGATGACAGCAGTTGTAACTGTTTGCATTTGTGACGTAACTTACCCTCACCCTCCTAAACCTGAAGATCCATCTCTATTTTCACTGATAATAGTATAATAGAGAAATTCCCATGGTTATATGTATACTATGCAAATTTCTCTAGGTCTGACTGGCATAAACAGACTTTGCCCAATTAAAGAGTTAATAGTAACTGGGAGGGGTTTGGGGGCGGAAGCATCCTTTTGCCTTAACATACATTTGCCCTGAAAGTAGCTAATGGAAATTTTCATTCATAAAATCTTAGGAAATGTCACATCTACGACTATTCCTCTCTCTCTCACTCAACAAAAAGAGCCTCAACGGATCTCGTTAGATCATTGAGATGAACTAGCCTGTGCAGAGTAGCTCAGAGGTTTGGTTTGCCCAGGGCCTGACCTCCACACCAGCCTTCCTCTTTCTCATGGTAACAACAATTTCAAGTTTTAAAGGATTGAGCAGCCTAGCTTTTTTTCTTACACTTAAAACACACCTGGTTTCTAGGAACAGCCTTCAGAGTTTCATGCTTTACTGGATTTTCTCAGAAATGTTGGAGGCCTCGAAGCTTCTGGAAGTTTTTCCTCTGCTCCTTGACAATCCCATGTGAATTTTAAGGTTTCTTTTCTCTCTTTTTTTTCTCTCCCACCTTATCCCTGCTTCTCTTGTTTCCAGTCTCTGAAATAAGAGGGGTTTTCCCTTTCTCAGTTCTTAATATGTCTCCATAAACACGTTGCCCTAGTGAGTACACACACATGCACAAACACACGTACGTAGCAAGGCTATGAGAGGGTTATGTGAATGTTCAATGTGTCAGTAAAATTGCTGATGTCAGTCTGTATTTGTAATACCTTAAAGAAGGATCAATCAATTAATCATTTTAAGTTCTGCTTAAAACAAATTACAGCAGTCAAAAAGTGATGCACAGCCCCTTAAACAATGCTAATGTATTCTTGTGAGAGGATCCAATTGACAGTTTTACGGGACTGGAGTCTAGTGAAAGCAGGTGTACACAGCCCAACAAAAAGGGCACTACGTCGTGAGGATTGAAGGGAGATTCGAAAGTCATTTTATGTGGTTGGCCTCTGCAGAGCTTCAGAGAAATGAGGCAGCAGCAAAAAGCCATCTGCTGCCAAGATACGAGCGCAGTTATTATACTTCTCGCTATTCACGTGGCCATACCTGAAACCTATACAGAGTGACTTTACCGAACAGCTTAATTAGTGCTTTTCTACACTGCATTAAATACACATCGGCGTAAGTCAAAGCAAAGGAAAACTACTTACATGGATTCTTACATTGAATTATAAATATGTTGTAGTTTGATCAGAGATTAACATGTTATTTTTGAAATAAAATCTAAAATTGTTATTCCTTACACAAGGAAAAAATCAGCATTGCAATCTGAATCTGAATTGGAATGTAATTTTGAAATTCTAGTAATAATGGATTCTGAGGGCAGCATTGGAAGCTAAGCTCCTAGAAGCAAATGAAATAACTGATACTTCTTTTTTTGGTCCACAATACCTTTTTATTTTGTGTTTTCTGCTCTATTTTAGACCAGCCTTTGTTCTTCTTGACTTTAACCTGTGAGATAGACGAATGGCCTTTACTATAAAGCACTTTTATAAACAAGGGCCATTAGGAAATCAGGAAAGAGGACAAGAATTAGTTTACAGTTCTGTGAGGGAGTAGATAAAGCTGTGATTTCCACCGCAGATTTGAGCAGTGCTGCGGTCATATCGCAGGTGAAGCGGAGGGCCTCAAGGCTGCCTGTGCAAACAGTCAAAATCACAGTCAGAGAATTTGAGATGCACCAACTATTTTGCAAGAGCTCAGGAAGCCGATCTACATACCAAAGAGCACCCAGAGAGAACGTCAACCCTTTAACCTGGGACTCTACCAAGAATAGTGTCACCCGCCACCTGTGAAATTTCAAGACAGACACCTCTCCATCTCTGAGCCAGAAATTCCCACTTCTTGGTGTTCAGCTCCAACTGCTGGTTTTACACCTGCTGCGGGGAAAGCCTCAAATATCTTAGCCACATTTGGAAGTAGTTCATTAAAGAGGTTCTAAATGCCTATTTTTAAAAATATTTTTAGAACACTCAAGAGTTTTATAGCACAGGAGAGGCCTATAAAAGAAAAGTACTTTGCTAACAGTATATGGAAGGAAATTTTTCAAATTAATTTTAGTGCACATTGTTGCTTCTGAGAGTTTTTGTTTAATTTTTATAGTGTTAGAGGTTACACTCATCATTTTATTAAAAGATTCAATTAGGTTTAACATTTATGGAGCACCTTGCCTTTGCAGGCTGCTTGGCTGAGAATTCAAGAACGAATTAGAAATGGCCCTATATAGGAAGCTCATGGTGTGGAGAGACACACACAGCTATCTATACACATTGTCATACAAGGCACCTAAGCATGTTAGAAGAGGGAACAATTTTTTCCATGGTGCAGTGGGAGTTCAGGGGCTATGCTGAAAAGGTGGTCCAGCAATGTATCAAAGAAGTGGTAACAAGTCCTCTGAGTCTTAAAGGATGATTCAGAGTTCTCAAGAAGGAACTGAGAGAGAGGAGCATTCCCTGTCCCTGCTAGAGACACAGCACATGCAAAGGCCCAGAGACCAGGAAGCACGAGTGCTCTTGTAGATTAGAAAGTTAGCTATTGGGCCCTGAGGAGCAGAATTCAGATACGGAAATGTGTGGCGTTCATTTTTGGCCACTCCACTCTGATAAACATCCTACACCAGGCAAACTTTGGCTTACTAGAGTACCTCTCAAGCAATAGACTGAAGCTAAGTAGATTTCCATGGTGTTTGACTTCCCAAAGAACTCAAAGCACTTAATCAATAAAGAACACCACCCCTCCCTCTCCCTCCCTCAGCCCACTCTCTTGCTCCTGCTTGAACTTTTTTTGTGGGAAGGGGGAAATCTCTAAAGATAGCCATTGGTGGAGGAGGAAAAGAAGGATATAAAAGTTATAGTATATTTACAATGTTTACATATAATAAACATATGCATTTTTTAAAGTATATAAATACAAGATTTATATATTTGCCGACATCATAACACTATGCAGACAATGTGGTTTTGTAATAGAACCCAACTGTGAAGTTTTATAGTGGCCTTTTTTCCAGCCTCTGTGTTTCTGTTATAGTATATATACCCTTGTTTACAGAAAATGTCACATAATGAAATCTGAGGTCCTTCATAAATGTAGAGCCAGGGCAAATGCACCCCAGCCCCAGGTGCCCACCCCCATCCAGTCCTTTCTAAATATTTATTCAGTTAATACTAAATAGTAAACTAGTAACAACTCTACTCTCCAGTCAACATGCTGTTGGAATAAGCATGTTTTAGTTAAATAAGTGTTCTTAAGTATGAGATTGGAAGGCTAAGTCTGTATAGGAACATGCATGTAGGTAACGTCTTTGTGGAAGATCCACACCCCACCCCAAGATCTCTCTTGCTAAAAGTCCAAGCTCACTGCCTCTGGAACAACTGAATGGTTAGGGACAAGTGGTGAGGTTTGCTCTTGGTCACTCTACCTCCACCACTGCCACGAAGGCCCATTTCCTGGGCTTTGTTCCCTCTTCAGTTCACTGCCCAGAGTGGAGTTAATGGGGACACACTTCACCACCTCAACCACCACTGGTGATCTGTGCCACACAGGCTGCCCGGCCATCCATCAAAGCAGGGCCTCCAGAGGACAGCAGAATGCCAGTTTCCACTGTCAACCCACCTCTCCCAGCCTTCCGCAGAGCCCTGCCAAGGGCTAGTCCCAGTCCGCTCCTCCATTGGCCATCTGAACAAATCTCAGCATCATGGGCAGATGGAAAGAGAGTGGCTTGTGACACTTTCCACACAATGACAGAAGAAATGTGCCTTCTCTCCTCAACACACAACAGCTCTCTGTCACGACCTCCAGCTGCTGTTACAAAGTCATTAGCATCTACTGTGCCCCTGGAGGTAAGGGAAGCCAAACCCTGGAACAATATCATCTCTGCTAAAGACACAAAACTTTTGCTTAACAACACAGGCACAGAGAATTCTGGATAAACAGGCTCAGGGTTTTCTGGCACCCAGTGAGTGGCTACCTCAGAAAGTCACCCTGGTTTGACAAGGGCCCCATGAGAAAGATGCAGTTTGGGGTATTTTTATCTTAATGCTCACAAGCTATGGGGAGAAAGACCTACTATTCTGGAAATTCTCCCCCAAACTCATTCTTATAAAAAAAAGACAGGGTCTCACTCTGTTGCCCAGGCTGAAATGCAGTGGTATGATCACAGCTCACTACAGCCTCAAATTTCTGGGCTCAAGCAATTCTCTCTCAGCCTCCTGAGTAGCTAAGACTATTCATGAGAATGAATTTGGGGCTAAGATTATAGGTACACACCACCACGTCCAGCTTATTTTTTATTTTTACTTTTGTAGAGAATAGATCTCACTATGTTGCCTAAGCTGGTCTTGAACCCCTGGCCAGTGCCACGAAACTACAAAACTGAGTTTGTCTTTTTTTTTGTTGATATTACTTTGCCTTCATTTTTCCCATCTCAGATAGAACAGGAGCATTTTGAATCTTTCTCTACCATGTACTCAGCACCAATTCCATGAGTTGCTAAGTTTAGGGTTCCTGTCTACACCAGTACTTGGTTTGTATAAAAGTGCTGGGATCCCAAAGTGCTGGGATTACAGGCATGAGCCACTCTGCCCAGCCCAAAATTAATTCTCAGGAGACTTTGCCTACCTGTAGGAGGGAATCCTCCATCCCCACGTAGAGATAACTTGATAGCAGTGCTGTGGGAAGCATATTGTTGTCCTCCTCCATCAGCTATCCAGGTCAGGCTGCAGGCAGCTTTGCAGTGGTGAAGCACAAGGACACTGCAGAAGGATCCCCAGCCTTGGGGTCAGTGCCCTGGCTTCAAATCCAAGCCTTGCCTCGTTTAAATTGCTTTCATATGTATCTGCAGCTAGTGTTTCCCAAACCTCACTCAACCCATTACCTCCTTTACAAATATCTGTGCAACACCTGGGCAATAGCTACTTCCTGATTTTCTTCAAGCACTTGCTTTTGTCCCCTAAATTCATTCTAAAAGAACCGGTTCAAATGGAAAGTCAGTATCATTTGCTATAATAGAGGGAATAGTAAAAAAAAAAAAAGAAGATGAAGAAGAAGAAGAAGAAGACAAAACAATGTTATTAAATTCTAGCTAAATTGTGTTATCCAACAAAGCTTCTTTCTGTAGACTAGAGAAATTAGCAAATATTAAACTGCGTTTACACTTGCAGTTATTAGAAGGACTACAAGAGAGCTCGAAAGTAAATAACTCTGCCTTCTTGGTTCAAGGCTGTTGAACCACCCAGATCACCCCATTCTCATCTACACCCCACAGTTTAGGAAACCCCAGGCTAGTGACATGGGGTTTTGTAGTCAAGGCTAAGTTTATCTGTTTTTGTTGATGTTATTTTGCTTTCATTTTTCCCATCTCAGGTAAAACAGCGGCGTTTTGAATCTTTCTCTACCATGTACTCAGCACCAGTTCCATGAGTTGCTAAGTTTAGAGACTGCCTGCACCAGCACTTGGTTTGTGTAAAAGGCAATACATAGACCCAGCTTGAACTGAGAGCAAGTAAAGGCCATTGGCTCTCCTCTGTTCTCAGTCATTCCTTTCTTTCATTTTTTCAGAAGCATTATAGAGACAATTACATATATATACATTCAAAATATATTTTTCAAAAATTCAAAATAAAGCTATGTGAAAAGCTCTTAGAGATCTCATATGTGATATTTATTCAAAAATAGGTGCTAAAAATTCCAGTGACACTGTCCTCCATGCAAAATATTCCATTCCCTCACTAGCCATTTAGTATTCACTAATCAGGTAATATTCTGAGAAAAAAACATACATGTTTTATATATAGAGCTTCTATATAGAGCTTCATTTTACAGATAGAATGACTCAAACTCCAAAGAGGTGAAGACAGTCATCCAATCACAGAGCGTCATCCTGAGATAAAAATAATCTAAACTTATCACTCTATTTTATACCAGGGCTAACTCACAAGCCAACGAGCTGATGAAAATGGCTGCCCAAGACCACATACAAGAGGTGACATTTTAAAAATTCCATACTCTCCAAGCTTATGCTTTTGAGTCAAACAGTAGGTTGGCCAGAGTCACATACAAACACCAGAAAAGCTGTTCTATCTGCCAATATCACCATTAAATATTATGTTCCTCAAATTCTTCATGAAATTCATGGCAATCCATCTCAGCTCATCCCAAAGGTCTTTATTTTTGTTTGGTTTTATTTTCTGAGGCCCTATCTGAACAAAGGTTGTAAATCAAAAGGAAAAGGCTTGAATGGACTTCCTGAACATTTTGTAGGATGCTTGTCCTTTCAACGTTCTGTATTTCTTGGCCTTAGCATCTCCAACACTAGGTTCATTGTATTACACAATAGTGTCAACAAATGCTATGCACTAAAGGAAAGAAGCAATGGACCTATCATCTGCTTTCTATCCCATGTAGCTTCCTAATCAATCTTTCCCTGAGATAATCTGGGGGCTGAGAATACATTTAAAGCAACACTGAATCCTGTGAACATTGTCCATTCTCCAAAGGCATTTTTTTTAATCACAAAACAGGAAGTTCCAAGCCATTGAAACTCACCAGTATATTTGCTTGAAAGTCTTCTGGAACAACAAAACGGTACATGCCTATCCAGGCAAGCAGACTATTATAAAAGCAGATGTTTTGCTCACTTCCACCTCAGAGAAACACATTGTCAATTTAGTTAACATCCTCTAGTCATTTGAACAGGCTTCTCAGGAAGTCAGCAATGATGTAACTCAAGTACAATATGATCCTTGTGTTCCCATTTATCTCATACTTGTACATGTTAGCAGAAGATAGATGTGTGCATGTGTGCGTGTTAAATGAATTAGAAGGAAGAAAAATACTGGGCTACTCACTACTCTCACTAAAATATCAACCCACAGGAGTGGGATTCAAAGAACAAAAGGTTCTTCGAGGGTGTGGGCATTACTATACATGGATGATATTCCTGCCAAGGGTTTGGCACTGCCTGTTCCCCACAGCCACCGCAGAATGATTCACACACACACACACACACACACACACACACACACACACACACACAGTATTGATCAACCACTGGAAAGGTAGTCCCCAAAGCATCCCAGCACTCAGTGCAATGTCAGGGCCCTCAGCCCCTTCTGCGGTGGTCTCTTTGTGCGTTGGGTAAAGTGGCCACGTTTTGTCAGCCAGCTCAAGCAGAAAGGCTAAGGTTGGGGGTCAAGATGAAGGGAAAACGAAGAAACAGCCTAAGACAAGCAGGAGATGAAGTGACATGGAGGAAACAAAGTAAGACAGAAAGAGAGAGGTAAACAGTAGTAACCCTGGCAAAAAAAAAAAAAAAAAGGTGGTAGGCCAGTGGGGAGGCCTGTTGAGAAAAGACATGGCTGGTGTCCATACCACAGCCCTGCTGTTAGAGAACTCATCCCACAGAATGCGGCCATTCAGTGTGACTGAACAAGACTGCTGGCCACAGGGCAGGGACAGCAGAAACAAGAGCACTGAGATGCTCCTGAAGCATTAAAGAAGAAAACCGCATTAATATCTAAACTAATTAACTTTAGGTCTTTTAAAAACAAATATAGTCATCAAGCTAAATATTCCCAAGTCTCCAGAATATGCACGGGTACCCACACGTGTGCACAAACACACACACATACCTCTTTTCTGGCAACGAACACTTATTAGCCAGCATTAATGGTTTTACCCCTTACTTACAGAGTTTTTGAGATCATGCTCCAGTAAGTTTTTTTTAAGCTAATATGTTCATACAGAAGCATCACAAGTAAGTTTATCCAACTCACTGTCACCCACACCTTGTCTTACTGACTCTGACCCTCTATTTAAATAGCTAAGCTCTCTAACTTGAGGATGTTAGCCAAGGTTTGTTGGTAAGGGTGAAGAGGGACAAATAGCAGAGGGCAGAAGGGCCCCATCTCCAATCAACCTTTTTTTCTCTCTCAAACATCAATGCCACCCAAGTAGCATCAGAATTGCAAGGCATCCAGACATCAGTGGGATTTGAACAAAGGGCCAAAGGTTCTCTTTTTTAAATGTCTGCTTGGGGCCTTGCAAAGCCAGAATTTAACCTTATGCTACTGGGGTAATGTTCATTTGGGAGCACTTAAACTTAAATTACTCTTAAATCACTCCTCTGTGCTAGACACACCCAGCTCTTGGCAGTGAACCAGAGTCTAGATGCACCACCCACAAGTCACTGTTCAAACCTGAAACTTGAAAGGCCTCAAAATCCAAAAAGTAAACACAGTTTCTTAATCACTTTTTTAAATCATCTGCTTCCTTTATCTCCAGCACTTTGTTTTTCTGTTGGGTCGTTCCAAGCAGAAGTGAGAAGTGAAATGCTAGGCCAGGGTGGACCACAGTGTTCTGGGTGCTGTAGCAGACACTACAAAAAACACAAAAGAGGTGCATGCAGTTCAGCCCTTGTGACACTGCCAGGGCACTGTCCGGGAAAGGGGGTCAGAGCACAGCATCAGGCCAGGCTGCTTCTCTATCCTTTGTGAATGGTGTGATTTTGTTACTGAAGTTACTGAATCTCTGCTCCTTTGTTCTCTCATTTATAAAACAAGGATGATAGCAATGTCTAACTCATAGGATTATTGCAAAAATTAAATGAGTTAATATATATAAGAGCTTAGAACAGTGCCTTTGAATTTATTATTATTATCTTCATTATTTCCATTATTATTCCTTAGTTTATAAGCCATGGATCACTTCCTATTGCCTACCAAGGTAAATACACACACCCTGATGTAGCATTCCAGGTTGGAACCATCTTCTCCAATCTACATTTTTAGCCTCATCTCCCACTGCTATCTGCCATGCACCACACACTTAAAACAAAGGAGATGGTTCATCATTTCCTGGACACATCTTATAATTCTCTAACTCAGCTCATATAGTCTTCTCTGCATTTCCACATTTCTATCAAAAGTGAATCCATCTTTCAAGACCATTCTCAAATGCTGCATATTCTCTTAGCTTAAATTTCTAAATATTCATTGAACATGTACAATTCTGTAGTTTCTCACATGATGTGGCTTCCTATACTCTGGTTGTCAGTGTGCTTCTTCAAAGATAGCAACCAATATTGTATACACTGGATATGTTCTAAATAACCTAGAATATAAAGGGAAGGATCATTTTCATAATTAATTTATTTCTTTATTGCACTAATATAATGCCAGCTTTCAGAAGCTACATGATCACTTATTCATATATAGCTTCTGTTCAACTAGTTATTCTTCACCTAAATCTGCTGTCAAGCCTTCCCATAGTTATGCAATTAATTTTTTAAACCTAAACGAACAATTTTACATTTGTGTCTACTGAGTGACACCTTGGAGCTCACCAGGCACCTTGCAGATCACCAGAATTCCAACTTGAAAAAGTAATGTGGATAATACTTTGTTATCTTTTATATGGGCCATATACCCCAGTGAAGTCATCTAAAAAACTTGAAAAGCATTCTGTCTGCATCATAGATACCAATGTGACATAATAGAGGACAAGGACAGATTATTGCTGCCATCCATCAGTTCCCCCAGTTTGACAGACCTACATGGTTATTTCATCAGCTGTCTATCTAACTCACCCTACCCACTTTCATCACCTTATCCACAAAGACATATGAAATTTTATAAAATACTTTCCTAAAACCAAGGTTTCCCTATGTCTACTTTTTCCCTAGTAAGAATCTTTCTTAAGACTAAGGGGCTAATTTGCATGACAAACACGTTTGTCTCCTAGAAACTACCACTCTTTTCTGATGCTCCAAAACAATGTCTGGATATATTTTTCATGTAATAGAAAAAAGAAATAGGAGACTGATGGGGAAGAGTCAAAATTCAGTGATAAGAAGCAGCCCAGAAATCTCAAGCAGTCTGGGATATTTGTTCTATGAATCTAAGGGTCGGATGAACCTCTAAATACAATGCAGCCACTCCTTAGCAGTTTATAACTGCCAAGTAGAAGTGCACACCTCCTGGATCTTTAGACTTTCGAAGGTTCATGATCCTGTCCCCAGTTGACCATTACATCAGGTGAGCCATGCAACAGACTAGGAAGAGTTAAGATCTCTTGGGCTTAGTTTCCTGATATTTTAGAGAATCTTAAGTTTCAGCAACTTCACCTTCCTGAATTGGGACATCTGTCCACAGAGAAAGACATTCCCCCACTCCTACCATGATCTAGAGCAAACATGAACAACCTCTAAATAGAGCAAAGAGTCTTGTGTGAACAAACCTGGCCTAACATTCTAGATTGTGATCTGCTCATTTCTAGACTACCTAGTCTCCAAAAATGCCCCCCTATTCACCTATAAGTCCCAGTATTTGTGCCCTTGTATAGTCTCCTCACCTCAAATCTGGGTTGGTCCCGCACTCGCATTTGACCTACAGCATATAGCAGCAGCAACACAGCATGACTGCAATGCTAGGTCACAAAAGCCTTCCATCTTGGAATGCTCCCTCCAGCAACCCAGCCACTGTGATGTAAGAAGCCATATGCAGACATTCAGTCTTCAAGAGCCTCAACTGAACTCAGACAGTAGCAGCAGCCATTCGATTGAGCCACTCGAACGTCCCGCTCAGTGGTCTTCTAATGACTGCAGCCCCAGCCAAGGTCTGACCACAACCACATGAGACCACAAGTGAGACCAGCCCAGATAAACTCAGTCAATACCTAGAACTACAAAAAACAATCATAAACTGTTGTTTTAAGCGGTTAAGTTTAGGGTTGGTTTGTTACACAGAAATAGCTGGAATCAGACCCAAGTTGGAGACTGTGGATACGAGAATCTACTTTTATTCTAGGCCTGGAAATGTCAAAGATGACTCTTGGGTCCCAAAAACTTACAGCCCTCAGATATTAGAGGCCTATGGATGACTCAAAACTCTGAAATAAAAATCAACCAGAAGAATAGAGCTCTCTGACACTGTGTCCTAACTCAGACGGTTGGAGAATATCACACAACAGTAAAATCTCACTTAACTTCAAATTCACTCACTCAAGTGGAATTTCAACAAATCACAAATTCATGATATGTGATCTTTCAGTTTCACAAGTTTGAAATAATTTATTTAAATTCTAGCATCATAATTGGATTGAAAGAGCTACTCTACAAATTAAAAAATCAATAGATGTTTATAATCATGGGCTCATAAAATATTGAAAACACCATTCATTCTATATGATTCCACACACAGGGCAAGGTAATGAGTATTCAGCTGGGGTCAAAGGAGACATAACCTTTGAGCTAGCAATCCAGCATGAGAGGTAGACTCTACAAAGTGAGCAAAAACATGATTACAACTCTGACACGAAATAGAGTAATAAAGAAGCAATGGTAGAGAAAATTCTCAAGGATGTCTCTCTGGAGAAGAAATATTTAATCTCACACCTGAAAGGTAAGAAAAGCACCCAGAGCACTTTATACAAGTTAAAGGACTTGATAATTAAAACTCTTTTATAGTAGATAATATAACGAACTGTATTTCTTCTGCATTGACTTGCACTCAGAGCACTTAAAAGTCTTCCTCTGGCATTAGGACTACATTTCAAATTTCGAATTTCACAAAACCACCTCCCTCCTAACTACTCACCTTCCTCTCACTCTTCTGCTTTGTCTTGTTTTCCAGGACCTCCCCAATATGGGCTTCATCCTAGTTCTGCATGCAGTCCCTTTGTGTGACCCTCATGGACACTTCTCCAGGTTCATCCCCATCAGTCCTCCTGCACATGACTCACAGTATCAGCACCCTGCAACCATGTACCATGACCCTAAGAAGGAGCACCCTACCTCACATCCCACCTGAGTCTTAGCCCTCACCTGCTCTTCCAGAGAGAGGAAATTGACATCTTGCTAGTAATCATGTATTTACTAGTATATAATTTTCTGAAATTATTTTCAAGTAATACGTGGACTTTTGATCTTATCAGTCAGTCTAATAGCAATGGAGGGCTCACACATCTGCTTCAGCACAAATCAGTGCCGGCCTGACATTAAGACCTGGCTTTCTGGTGTGAATGACATGGTTAGTTTCATCCCCGATATTCACTCCATTTATCTCCCTTTACACTGCATGGGTGGGATTAACATCCATGGCAGAGTCAGCTGGCTGACCAGCAAAGATTCAACATGCCATCTTCCACAGGATGGAGTGCATGCTGGAAAGACACCCAGTCAAGGCATACTCTCACACTTCACGCTTTTCTTGACCTAGGAGGGGTCACATGATTAGTTCTCACCAATGGAATTTGAGCAGATGTGATGTGTGACATTTCTGAGCCAACGTAGTTGGGAAGTAGATGTATCTTCCCTAAGATCTCTTTTTTGGTTTGCAGCAATTTTTGGAGCACCATGTTGAAGATGGAAGAGTGCTAATTTACTGAATAAACCTCCTGGAGGTGAAATAATCAGTAGGATTAGCAACACCCATATCAGTCTATGAGAGAACTCAAAAATAGATGTTTACTTAATAAAGGTATTAACCAAGAGAAAAGTTAGGATTTATCTGCTATAACATCTTCATATGGCATCATTCCAAACTCTAGGGATGGATTCGGACTTGGTTCAGGGATGGGCTTGTATCCCAGGTCTGAGCCGATCAGTGCATAGTGTTCCTCTAGCCACAGAAGTGTCTTCAGAAGCAGACATATTGCCTAACTCAGCCCAATTAGAGGAAAGATTATGATTTTTTTCAAAGTTTTGGAGAAAAAAAGCTTTGTATTTTCTACTGACTATGAATAACAAAGCATGTAGTAAAGCCTTTTGTGATGGTCTGAAGCTAACACACAGAGAAAGAAGGCCCAAGAGCAACACTGAAAAACATGGAAACAGAGTCTTGATCAAACTGTACCTAAAGCATAATCTATTAGATTTTTCAGGTTTATAGTTAATAAATCCCCTTAATTTTTAAGCCAGCTTAAATATGTTTTTCTTTATTAATAACTAATATCTTCCAAGTATATACTTCATTACACATGAAACTCTTGTAATCAATATAGGAACAAGGAATAAATTAAAACCAATTGCAAGTTAACCATAATTCACAGTTCACAAAAGCCTAAGTATTAAAATAGGATATATAATTGGCACATCAATAAAACATCAATCAGAATTCCTCAGTATTTATACCTATAACATGCACTCAGTCAGAATAGGTCAAGTTTCTCTTCAGTAGTAACTACAAAATCTCAGTGGCTTATGCCAAGTTTATTTACTGCTAATGTTATGCTATGTGTCTCATTCTGGGTCAACTGTGCCTCATCTTCATCTTTCCTCTGGGCCTTAGGCTGCTAAAATAAGCCTCTATCTGGAACAGGAAAAGGATACAACACAGTGAACCACATGGTGAATCATACAAACTTCTGTTGCATGTATTGGTCAGAGCAAACCTAGAGTCACAGAGAAAATTCTCCCTAGGAAAGGTAGTGAATATTTTCTTTGAGCAATATTAAGATATGTTATTCAAATTTTTAATTCAAAAAAGCATTCAAATATTTATTTGAACAGTAGATGTCTAAAGTTGATAAATCCTAAATTACCTACTAAAAGAATAATTAAGACCCTAAATAATAATCAGACCCAACCTTACCATTTGTTGGCCCACAGATCAGAATGTAAAAATAAGTTCATCCAAGACTGAAAGAATATTGGGCTGTCAATAAATAATTATTGAAAAGTTTTCTCCAAAACATTGTCTTTCACTGTTCTAAAATTTTAATGACTACTACTAAGGTGCTGGTCAGTAGAGAGAAGCACTAGAAAAAATATTGACACTTTAATGGAATTTGAGGAGAAATCTACCTGTAGGAGTATGTCCATCTGTACTATTCTAATATTTTATTTCACTATTAAGGCTTCTCTTCTGTAAGGGGTGGTGGTAACAGTAGCAGCTTTACAGAAATCATAGAACTAAAGGAAAAGAATTTACTATTTACTGAGGATTTCAAATTGCTAAGCACAGTACAAATATGATGTCATGGAAACATCACCACACCCTTGTGAAGTCGATGTCTCATCTCTGGGTTATAAAGGTGATGTCAATGTCCAAGGTCTCAGAGCTACTAAGTAGCAGACACAGATTTAAACATGTGCTCTGCCCCTAAATCCTATGCCTCCCATAAATCAAGGTTTGCCAGAAAGACAGGCTCTAGCCTCAACTAAATTATGAGGAGGTGATCCCAATTATATCACCCTCCCTTGTCTAATCAGTGCATGCCTATGTGAAGAAATTAGACACTGGGGGATAAAGGTCAATGCATTCTCCCACAGAGGGCATGAAGCCTTTGGCCACCCACCTGAAGCCCCAGTAGTGACACTCCAGGTCTCCAAAGGCAGGAAGAGGCAACACTCGAAGAGCAGAAGTCTTTCCACATTGCCACCTGTCATACTAAGTGCCACCCTAAGATCGGAGTTCAGGAAAACAGGATGGTGGCAGAAAATGGAAGGAAATCTATTTAGTGATCAAAGAAAGCTTCATTTGGTGAAAGACCCAGACCAGAGTAAGATTAAGGAAGCAGGAGGCCAGGTGCTCAGGTATAAGAGAATAGACAGGAGTCACAGCAGTGAGACATAGGAAAACACTTAGAGTTACTCAGCACATGATAGGCTGAAGGAAAATTAATCAGTCAGTATACTGACTGTTCTCTATTTGCATAGGCTCAGATCTGGGTGGGTCAGTGTTTCTGTGACTTTAACCCCACTGAGCCAACTCCTTACTGATAAGGCTGCACCCTCTGATGGCTCTGACTCCTGTGCAATGGAGAGATTTGGCACTGTTCATTGAGGGTTTCACTACGTATCTGTGGCCAGTTTATTATTTTCCTTGCAAATTGTTCTTTGTAATATATTTATAACCTGCAAGTATGAAGCATTATCACGAGTATTCTATTCAAAGGAGCTAGAGGACCATGTTGACTAATTCAATACCAATATGAATGCCAGTTTTCAGTTAACAAAGCACTTTCCAATGTATTATCTCATTTGAACCTCATGCTAATTCTGTGAAATAAATATTCTCACTCCCACTTTACAGATGAGAAAACTGAGGCTGGGGGGCTATTAACTATTTTTCTAAAGTCTCACGACCAGTGTCAGAGATAGAATTTGAATTTGGGTCTTCTGACCATACGATATTGCCCTGAGGAAAGAAATTCATAAATAAGAGAGAACAACTGTGGGCATTGGCAAAGAGGAATGCATTGGAATGGAGAAGAAGGGCCATATGACAGCTGTAAGATTATTTCAAGGAGAAATGAAGACAAATTGGAATTAAGCTCTCTTTTAATTATACATTTACCAGTGATATGTCATTGAGAAAGAACTAATACACAGAGTATCAATTTTCAGTAAATATAAATGGCAAATAAGGCATTTAATGAATTGCAAATGACAGTGTTTCTAAGATTAGTTATCAATCACTAGTAAGGACCTTCCCATTTATTAATCACATATTTCATTTCTGCAAAGAATCTAACAAAATGGCATAAAGAGAATACAGGGCTGTCCAACACTTGCAGGGACTTAAAAAGAGAGAGGATACAGAGATGGT